TTTTTTTTTTTTTTTTTTTTTGTAGAATTTGATTATGTTTATCAATTAGTTATATGAAATTAAAGATATAGCTTTAAAAAATTGTACTTACGTATCATTTATTTATAATCTTGAACTTTAAATGATACGCATCATTAAACAGTATTTGATCATTAAAAATGGTTTTTTTAATTTTTATCCAGATGATTTTAATATAATATAGATAAGTGTATTAAAAATTGAGCAACGGCAAAGAAAATTTAACTCTACATTTTTTTTCAAGCTTTAAATTAGTAAATTTAAATGTTCCAAGTGTTGGTGATGGTGATTATTTTTAATTGAAACAAAAATAGAACGACTATTTCTATGAGATCTTAGTGTTTGGATAAACAACTTATAGCAATGTCAAACCGGTGATAAATAGTTTTTGAAGAAGTTAAACTATTCTAACTTCTAATAAATTGACAAGCACTTTTGTAAAAAAACATAAGTTGTTTCAGATAAGCAATCAATTTTTTGGCTTTCAGAACAACAATTTCTATGAGACCTCCACCGTGAAAAATGTGTAGAAAACCTTGCCAAATATTTAAAGAAAAAAAAAATCAAAATGCATAAAAAAATTGTATTGAAAATGAGGGTTAATGTAACATAAATGCCAAATTGCACCAAAACACAAGGGAATTTGCCTTTCAAACCCATTTAGTATGAGAATACTTGATGATTCTATGTTAGTATAACAAACTTCATTTCTTTCATATTTTTGAACCAGTTTGACCTATAAACACTAGATCATATAAACATAAAAGGATCACAAGACACCAAAACCACAGATGACATCTAATTTAGCCATCAAATTTACCAGCAGGATAAGGAGGTGGATATCCTTACATAATCAGTAAAAACATCTGTTTAAATTTCGACTCCAGACACCTGAAACGCACAATTTACCTTCACTCATAACCGCCATGGGACCAGTATAGTGGGGAGCTCCTGAAGATGGCATCATATCCTTTTTGCAGAAATTTACCAAAATTGTAAAGTTGCAACTAACATGAAGCATCAAAAAATGAAAATTGCTGTAATTTTTATGTAATTTACAGAAGGTTACAAAGATTATAATGAACATATAAAGATATATTCTTAAAAAATGATTTTTACCTCTTCAACTGTAAAACTAAACCGAGTATGCTATGTTGGGTGTTAGAATTCAGATCAAACTGTTTAGATTTGTATTTTTTGTAGGCTTCCTCTGTATGCTAACTTCTTTCTGAATTCTAAATGATTCCATAGAAGTTTTTTTTATATAAATAAAGCTACCTTTATCTGATGAGTTGAAGACTCTGCTAGGCTTGGAAAAAAGAATGCCGAAAGTCGATCCAGGTGTTGGGTTAGCGGTCATTCTCCAAAAACAATGTCAGATGTCTTCTAATCTTCTGTAAAAAAGTACATAAGCAGCAGAAGTCTTGATCCGATCCTCGTCAATAGGAGAAACATGGCTATCGTCAAAATCGTACCATCTATCACCATCATGCTACATGAGATCAATGAGAAACTATTATAAGCATCGGACATGCAACTTGAACGGAGCCTATGGTGGTTTTCTAAATCAGGTAGAACCAAACGAGCCCAATATACTACACCCTGAGGTGGGTCAGAATAGGATGTATGTAGACCTGACCTTTACCCTAAAGGGTAGAGCAACAGTTGTGAAGAATGTGTGAAAAAGGGACTTCGCCCAAACACAGGTATATGTAACCAAGTGGCCTTTGGACCAATAGTATCAGTTGTCTCTACAACCTTTAGGTTGTGAACTCGAGTCTTTTCTGGATCACGTAAAACCACACCAAACGAGCACAGTATATCCCACCTTGAGGTGGGGTCGGGGTGGAATATATGCAGACCTGACCTCTACCCTAAAGAGTATTGAAGTTATTTCCATGATCACCCCCAGCTTGTGAAAAGTGTGCGAAAAAGAGAGTTTGCTCAAACAGACATGTAACCAAGTGGCCTTTGGACCAATCATATCAGTAGAGTCTCTACAACCCTGAGGTTATGAATTCAATCGAGTCTCTTTAGACGCAGAGTGTGAGTTCGTTGACGGTTTACAAAAATACATATGTATGTATATACACGCACACAAGTAGATGGTATAAAAGTGGTGCTTACACGGATGAATGCAGTATAATGGCCACCTCCCATGCTTCCGTAGTGATTACTTATGGCATAAAGCATATAACGGTGACTTGATCGTCCATTATTGTATGCAACAAATGTCGTCAAATCAAGATCATGGATAGGGAAGTCGACAAACGTTTCCAACTTATTCTTCAAAAATCTGCTGTATGAGAACCTCTTCAAATGAATTACTAGGATCTCAGGGAGTCTCCATAGGTCTAGCTTCTTACTGGCTTGGCGGTGCTTTTTGCAGCCAGGGCAGTACCTAGAACGCATGTACGAATCAATCATAATGAGGATTAGATTTAAAAAACTTGGTAAGATGAAATATTTTCATGGAGGTCACTCCCTCCGTCCCAAAATAAATGTCTACAATGGAAAACGCAAAATTTTAGAAATGTGTACTTATACACTTTTTAATTAACTAAATGATAATTTTACTATTAATAATACAGGGAGTAATGAATTTCTCTATCTCATAATTAGGGTAGACTTGGGAAGTGGGCAATTAGTTTTGAAAGTCGACACTTGTTCTGAGACAAAAACAAAATTAATATGTGGAGACTTCTTTTGGACGGATAATTAGATGCTTAATTTATAGAAAGGGAAATATTTTAAGAACATCCTGGATACATTTTTGAGAACTAGAAGGATACTCACAATGCAGCGAGATACATTTCGATTTTAATATTTTGTTTTATTCTTTGTCCCTTTGGTTTTGAGAAAGCAATATTGTTTTATTTTTGAATAACATATAAATTTGAAGATATCATAAAACTTTGAAAAAAAATATATTGATATTAATATCAAATTAACTATTTAAAAATTCTCGTTTTTTGTATAATTTTTTAATTCAATTTTTTATTATAATTTAAGTTATGTTTAATAATGAAGTAATTTATATTTGATTTAATAATATCATTCTTTATAAAGATAATAATTAAGTATTCTGTTAGAAGTCAATGATTATCCTAATTACATTTTTAGAGTTTTTATATTTAAAATGAGATGTTTATCTTCTTTTTGATTATGTTTATTTACAGTTAGTTACATGAATTCAAAAATAGAACTTCAATAAGTTGTACTTATGTACAATTTACTTGTAATCTTGAATTTTAAGTAATATGCATTAATTAACAGTACTTCATCCATAAAAAATGGTTTTTAAGAGTTTTCTTCAAATGCTTCATAATATAGTAAAGATATAGGACTACAATTGTTGAGTGTTCTAAAGTACGGTATACTAGAACAATTGGATCGAGTACTAACCAGATTGGTGGCAAATTTCAGACATCAAATGCAACTATTTGAAGTAAATGTGAACGAAATTACATCATTTCATGAACATGCATCAGATTATCATTAAGCTTGGGTATTATGTGCCAAAGGAAGCATAAGCCGGCTCAGAAGAAATGAAATACTATTATCAGAAACAGCCAAATGCCTTGATACAATAAAATGGGTCTTTTAGGATGCCCAACAATCATCAGGTGTCCTAATAGAGTACTTAATGAGACGAACTTTGTAGGACCAAGAATTGTGTGTCCCATCTAAAGAACAAGTTGTTACCACGAAATTAGGCTACCTAACAGTTTCGTTGACGCAATTCGGCAACCTAAGAGGACACAAAATTATATCTTCCTAGCCTTTTTTTATGTCCTATAAAAAGGTTTATAAGACGATTTACTTTTTGTGTCCTATTAGGTTGCCCAACTTTGTTGATTGAACTTATTAGGTCATCTAACTTCATCATAACAACTTAGTAACGCCTTCAGATAGGGCACACAGTTCTTGATCTATATTATAGACTTAGTTGCATTAACTACTCTATTAGGACACCTTGTAGTGTTTGTTGCTCCCCAGTTTCAAAACATGACAAAAGCATTTCCATGGGAAGTTTTAAAAATACATAAAAAGAAACACTTACCACATGTCTTCTGGTCCAAGTGGCTCTTCCTTAAGGAATGCTTCCAGGCATTTATACAGAGAAATGGACTCTTGAGGCCGTTTGCTAAACAAAGCAGGCTTGTAAACTTCAGCTGGTGAGGTAAGAAGGCTTTGGTCATATAGTTCAAGCATTTTATCAGACCAACACACAAGAATGTTCAAACGGCCACCCAACTCTGTGGAGTTTAACAACTCATCCATAACAATCTCAGAACCTTTGACATTTCCATTATCATCAGTCAAATAGAACTGTACTTCGCAATCAGTACGTGAGTTTCCATTAACAGTATCTGAAGCCTCTGAGGTGTCTTCAGGACTTGCGACATTGTTCCTTTCTTCATCTTCGATTGGCACAGTCCCAGTGTTGTTATCATCCTCACTGGAACTCTTAGCCTTAATTGTCAAAGGTTTAAGAACATTGAAATATAAATCACGAATATCATGTCCTTTTGCAATTTCACCACATGCTACAAGAGGAAGCCCAAATGGCTTGCAGCTTGATTTATTTTTTCCAGATGTTAAATTCCTGAAAATAGGAGTTTGTTATGTAGAGCTATGTGTATGCTTCTATCATGTGTTGTAAAGAAGCAATATGGTTTTTTTTTTTGTCGTAAGATAAACCAAATATACAAAAGAATAAATAAACATGATTATGATGACAAAGCCAAATAAAGGAAACTGCAGCAAGAAATTTGATTTGTTAATAGCTAGTTTGTATACTAGTACTTTAATGATGCTGGTATAAATTTTGAAAACGACATATTGAGAGCATAGCAAGCATGTTCAAAACACAATATATCCATGAGTCCAGGCATCAATTTTATGGCAAGTAAGCTTAACATAGTCCAGTTGTAGCTGCTGGGAAGAACATCCCTGAGCTCAAATCAAATAGTTTCATATGCATATATCATTTGTAAATTTGTACACTGAATTAGCTAAAGAAAAATGAAAACCAAAATTTTACTGAGACAATGTAGTGATGAGTAATGGACTGTTCTGGTATGCTAATTCTTCATCATATTAGAGGGACAATTTAACCAAACTAATTTCAAAGGGAAAGTAGCAAAGAAGCACTTTGTTTGGCCAAATTGCTATTCATAAAATTAGTAAATTCAGCATTCAGATGAACAAAGGGTGAGGAGTGGGGAAGGGATGGAATACAGTGACCTACAGCACCTTTTAATGGCAGAACTAATAAGAAAAAGCGGGACATATTTCAGGCTTCAAGAAACTAATTATCAGAGAAGGAAACTATGAATCCTAGAAAGAAAACGAAGCTTCAGAACTCCCCCAAACAACCCCAAAGTGATGTATTAGATGTATCCTTCTGTTTTTTTTCATATTTGGGAGAAAAGTTCAACAGAAAAAGGAGAGTTGTAAATAAAATAGAAAAATAAATATAACCTCAATAACAACAAATGAGCAATTTATGACTCAAACCTTTCACAAATAGCCTCCCACAATTTATGTCCTCAAAGATATTGTGACGCAAGCCAGTCATTTAACTAGATTTTTAATTCCTTCGGTTCCATAGTGCAAAAAGAATGAACTTTGGAATGCATAAACGTGTAAATTTCTTAACAAGTACAAACAGTGAAATAAAAATTCTTAAATCGTGCAGTTTATGCAGTTAGCTTATTTTTACAATATAATGCATTGATACCATGTATGAGGTCGAAAAGCACGCTTATATAAAATAAATAGAAAAAGATAAAGACCAAACAGATAATAGAAAAGTTGACACCTACAATTTTATACCAGATGCATGAGCAGAACGTAATACCTAGACACGTAGTGCGAGAAGAATAAGCAAAATCTATAGCATACATCTCTAGTTGGGGCTTTCGGTTCGAAGGTTTTAAAATGAATCAAAATAAAAGTGATCATCTTGTTGAGCCCAGTACGTTTTTTGAGGATAGGAGATATAAATATGGCCCCCTTTTATTTGTAAGAGACTTCAATTTAGTTATGCAGTATGTGAATGTTCTGGCAGATTTCTAGTACTGCCAGTACCTCAAAACTAACCAATGGGGGCCATGGCGAGAGGGGAAAGGAGAAAGGACAGATGGGGGTGGGGTGGGTGTCATTAGGATAAAAAAGAGAAACTAAAACTAATTAAAAAAATAAAACTATTTGAATTTTACATATAACTTTGATTTAAAGTATTTCATAAAGATAAAAAATGGTAATTTTCAAATACTCAAGACTGCCCATTCAAACCATCTATCAAACAGTCATTTTTCATTTTTGCACTTAATCCATTATGGCCTCGTAATCATTTTGCAGATAATCATTCACTTTTATCAAACAGCCCCTCATCCTACCAAACTGTAGGTTCACCCAGAGGATCCCTTGTGGACATATTACATGTGATAATAATTCTCCACTAGCACTATTCATCATGTCTGATTCTGCAAATAAAGATTATTTCTTTATCTGTGTGTGGGTCAAAGTCCAAAAACGAAGATATAATTAAATGGGCAGCATAAAAACAATCAACTTCATCCAACACACACTTTGTCATAAGCAATTATATCATAATGCAAAATAACTTCTAGTGGGAAATTCGTTTTAATTCCAAGGAACTCAACAGAACTGAACAAATGCAAACAAAAAATAGAACTGAGAAACATTGAACTTACTTTTCTATCTGCTGATGAACGAAAACAACCCGAGAAAACTTCTCAAAATCTTTTTGTATATTATAAGCAACCAGTCGGTCATCATCCCTGATTAAGGATAATGAATCAGTGGGCTCCCCAAGAAATCGTATAATATGATTGTTGTATACCTGTACATGTTTAATTTTCAGAAAGATGAACAATTACGCAACAGACAAGCATGATTTAACAATGAAGAGGCTGCAACATACCTCTGCCACCATGAGGGTTTCATCATTCCCTAAAGAACACATCGTCCTCAAAGCACGAACAAGATCTTCAAACTTTCCATGCTTGGGAACAGTAACAGTAACCTGAGTTGGCTGAGCACTTCCATCAGTGGGCACAGTTGTCAAAGTCATTGTCCTCATTGATGTTGACGGTAAAGGTAATGACAGATACATGAATGGATCAAATGTGACTGACACCTTTCTGCAAATTGGACATACTAATGTGGACCTATATTGACCCTGGCATTATAATCAGCAATAAAAAATGTCAGAAGCCCAAAAGTAAATTATCCACAGCATGCCTAAAATTCATGCTATGGTACTTAGACATCAGAAACATAAAGCTCATCATGAAGATTATACAAGGATCAGATTCCAGCTTCTTCCCTACTCCGGAGGTCTAGTTACAAAAAGGTTCAAAATGCTGTCTGGTAGTATGATACTACTTTTCAAAAGAAGCAAGTCAAGCAATAATGCAACAAGTCTAATATATTTGATCATAATCCAGCTTCCAATATACACCCACTGGAGATTGATAAGCTTAGCACATAAGGTTAAGAACTTCATTATTGGTGTATTCCTCCGGCCCCCAGTCAAATTAAAAACTTAACTAACCTGTCAAGTTTAATGCTGCCTTAGGTGAATCATGACAGAATTTTGGGTTATAAGAAGCCAACAAAAAGTTTCAATGACAAGTGTTTCATACTTCCACATGCCAAACATATAACTTTAGTGCTCCCTCCAGCCCCAATAGGGGTCCTCCCTAATAGGTTGCCTCCTAATAAGTGACATCTTGGAAGGGAAGACTATCACTGGTTTTCCAAATATACTGCTATTCAGAAGTGTTGCAATATGCAGTCAATTAATATTACACCCAACAAAACGGTAGAATACAGCCAAAAAGAATTACTTACTTGGCATACATCAACTATAATAGAGTCATTTCGAGCAAGATGATTCTGCCAGTATTCATCAGCTATATCTTCATCTGGTCTACCATCTCCATCCTTCGCTTCAGCATAAGGTTTGCATTTAACACGATTCAGATCTTCATGAAGTCCATCTAATAGAAAAGCAAGGAGTTCCTGCATTAGAAAATTAGCATACAGGCTCGTCATTTAGACTTCAAATTTTGACACTGACAAAGAACGACTACAATCCACGAATCCCAAAGCCACAACCATCATAACCAATACACTCAACCCCACTTCCCCAAAGGGAAGGAGTGCAGAGAAAAAGTAGCAAAATCAAGACGAACAAAACCTAGAGCTCTACTACAGCAAGAGATGACTACAAACTTGAGAATCATGCTGATTGAAGCCACTGAATTGAGGAGCAAAATGAGCAAGCTTGGACTTGAATGTTCTTGGTGGTACTGCAGTTGCTCCAGGAGCCCATAATGTCTTTAATAAATCTCCAAAAGCCAATGCAATCTCACCCTGGTTAATATGTGAAAGTTTGATCATAGGAAGGAGAGAAGAGACAGCCATTCCATAAACACAATGGCAGTATAATAATCTTGCAATTCTTTGTTTACTATTCATGGAAGAAGTGAGAAAACCAACTCAGAAATATAAATGAAAGAAAAAACCCAATAAAACTAAACATACCATTTGTGAGAAATCATCTCAAGGAGAAAGATGGATGGAATCATACAAAGAAACATTTAATTACAGGGAGCGAGTAACATACATTCATGCCCAGTGGATTATCATGGTTTATTTCTCTCCGGTGATCTCCAAGAAAGTAATCAACAAGCTTTGGGGTATGAGCAAGACACTGGAGAGAACTATTCATGAAACAAGTATTTCCCAGGTTTTGTAAGCCAGTTAAACCCAAGGAACCCTTCTCGCAATAGCTTCCACTTGAGACTGCAGAATTACTCCGCAAACAAATAGAGTTACCAGTGCTACCATTCATCTTTGATGAAGTTTTAACCAGATGCGATGTCATCTCATCTTTTTTCATATCTTTGTTTCTGGTCAAATCTGACAAGCCATAAACTTGCAACTCCAAGAGAATCTGGAAATATGGTGTAGATATTAGGATCATTAAAGTAGCATATCAAATTGGATAAAAAGAATAATCATGTATATTAGCTACACTAATAAAGGAGTTTCTAACTATTGCAGATATTCTATAAGATAGTGTACTTTAAAATATTACAGTGTACAAAAACAGAACTAGGCTTTCACTGCCATTACATTTTTAACAACTGGCATATCAAGGAACTAGCAGATCCTGATGACCCATTTTAGCACCATAATATTTGTTTCCATGCTACTTCTACATGTTTGAGCAAAAATGTCAGCATATGCAAATACAAATTTACGCAGAGTGTCTAAACGTTAATCACAGACTAAGATATTTAGGGATTGTAGCTTTCATTATTTTACACAGATGCCAAGGGCGGAACATGGACATCATAGCCTTGGGGGCTGAAAAAGTATATTACAAAAGTTCGAACACAAAAAATAGTAATACAAATTTATTGATTTTTATGTATTTTTATCATAATCTAATATTACATACAGAAATAGAAACAAAAATTGACTAATGTAGACTAGAACCCAAATTTTTAGAATATTATAAAAAAATTAATATGTATAGGAAGGAAAAAGTTTTTTCAACTGTAGTCAAGTGCAGCCTGTAGAGCTCGAACCTGAAACCTTTCTAAAGGGGGCCAAATAGTGCTAACCAACCAAGCTGGGTAATTTATGTGAATAATATTGTTAAGACATTATATTTGGCTCTTAAATTGCAAGGGGCATGACCCCCCATAGGCCACTATAGTGTTCTGCCACTGATAGATGCCAGTAGAGAGGACAAAAGAACCTGCACCAGACAGGGTACCCGATACACGAATCCGGTTTGACCAGGGAATCCCCGAGTTGACCGGGGATGGGGATACCCCTCAACCCTACCCCAAGTACTTAATAATAAAAAAAATTGTATGCTGTATATTTGTAACTTGTAAAAGGGATTACAATTTACAATATTGGTTTGGTGGTTCGAGGATAAACTTTTGATGACATAACAACGTGGATGCATAAAATTCAATTATCAACTATTCTACATGATATGTTTGTGTTTGAATTATGTTTGTTTGATGTTTCGTATTATATACATACAACAATTAAAGTTTTGTTGATTCAAGTTTTAGCATGATATGTTTAAACGTGAAATTGAAATTTATAAAGATATTATTAAAAAATTAACTTTGTAAACAGGGAAAATCCCCAATTGCCTGGTGGGGATCCCCGTTGCCCGATGGGATGGAGATGGGGATCGGGACGGAAACTTATTCCCCGACGAGGATGAGGACTAGGGATAGGGATTGGGTATGGGAATTGGGATCCCTGATATCCCCAACCCCATTGCCATCTCTAGATGTGAATATATCATGGAATATATAGCATTTAATCCATATTGTAACGCCCGCAACTTTGTAGGGACTTTTGAAAATAAGATGCAACAAGGCATTGGATTTGTTTCAAGTTGAAAACAAGGTTCAAATATAAGAGCTGTTACCTGCAGCTTCAGATTCCGACTTGAATGAAAATTTAGTGGAACATCCTCACATACTTTTCATAACTTTTATATAATATTGTTTTCAAGTAACTTCCAAACTTACCTATCAACAGAATTCTCGGAATCACACCACAACTTAAATTTGGCACACAGAGCAAATCACAGTTCATAATTTACTTGTATGATATCAACTCCACCCTTTCTCTAACAACAATCTAACTTCGCCTTTGTAGTAGGGGGTTCAACACTACCCTTTCTCCAGTAACCCATTCATTAGATATTTATCCTATTGACATCACTACCCTTCAATTAAGCTTTATCTTGAAAGGCGGAAAGTATAATCTGAAGGTAAGAAACGGGTCTCTGGTTTTCGGTCAATTAAATTGTCCCAATGACCGTCACTAGATAATGTAAGGAGGATATCTAAGACGTGTTCATTAACTCTATCATGGTGTGATTGGTGTCATCTACATCACCAGATAATATAAAGCAACCAAAACAGTTTAAGTCAAGTATAAGTAAAATACAAGGCATTGATATCCGACAAAGATTTTCTGATCGTCAACCACACAATGAAAGTTTTCCTAGTAAAAATTCCATGTGTGAATTCATTATATCCACGAACACAGACAGATGAGCATTTAATATATAGAGGTGATATCCTGAAAAAGCAAACCTAAGCGTGTCAACAGATAACATTTACGGCATATCATGAAGTACCGAACATAGATTAGCATTCGCAACTAAGCTTACTCTGATAGAAAAGGAAGAAATTAAATGATAAAAGGCAAGGAAAATAGAATATACACACACACACACAAACCCAAATAGGAAACATCTTCCAATTCCAAATTCCCATAAACAGGAAGGCTTATAGAACCATAGTAAAAAGCACAGGACAGGAAACATTCAACTACCGAGCTATACGACTTACCTCTTGCTCTGACTGTCTTAGAGAGTCTTTTGCATTCTTATTTTTCTCGTCTAAAAGAAATTGAGTTGTTTGTCCAGAAAAATCCCAGATGTGTAACTGCACAAATAGTTTTAAATTTCTCATAGAAAGGAGAGAAAAGTACTGATACAATTAATAAAGTACACAAAGACACTGATGAAAAAATATTACTTAGAAGATCAATCAACCCAAATAAAAAGGAACACTTACAAGTTCAGACTCTATGCTAAAAATTTTACATGCTCTTCGGTAGCACTCAACAGCATTGTCCTGAAAAGAAAACGAAGATAGAAATTCACAAATAAATGAACCCCTTCAATTTAGAAATGCTCTATAGACGCTAGTAAAGTACATAGAGGTTCTAAGAGAGTTGAAGTATAGAACATTTAAGGTGGGCAGGTGGAAAACTATCTTTTTTTCTAAAACTGCACATCCATAAAGCAAAGATCAATGTCTCAAAAAGACAGTTGATTGGGCCCCATGATTTTATGCCACATTTAAGGTGTTGGTTGAAGTGGGCCAAGTCGCAAAAACTCAGAGAATAAAATTAATATTAAGGGTGTCCCAGTTAACTATTGGCACACCCTTCTATCATTATCTTTTCATATAGTTGGATATATAGTGAGTTGTTTGGAATTCAAAACAGCAATCCTTACTAGGAACCATAGATGGATTGCATAAGTTTTGATAAAATGAAAGAATACAGGAATGCATCTTCTAGATGTCCAATTATCAATCCTTTTGATGGTAAGGCAGTGTTATACACAGGATTCATCCTCATTTTGCTCTTAACCTGTTGGATTTGGTTACAAAAATAAGTTGATTAGACAATGAACAGTATTATAGAACAGATTCACCCTCATGGTCCTATTAATCTGTTGATTTGGTTGCAATTACAAGCTGACTTGACAACGAATGGTATTGACTACAATTTATAGTATGCCCATCTCTAGTGTAGCCGTTTTTTGCTTCGTATATGTTAATGACTGTTATCAGTCATCATATTTCCGATGCTGCATAGGAGGATCTCATCCATTCGTGTCATTCTGTGGAGCAAATGGTTGCTCTAAATCC